CAGCGATGGACTTTCATGTAAAAGTGATGCAAGTGGCTCTACAGCAGTCTGACCACCTTTACAGGGATTGGAAGGCCCTCCCTTCTTACAAAATATTAGGCCAGCTGCCATTCGTTCCTCCGCCTCTTCTGTGATGAATGAAGTTGTAAGCGAATAGGATTTTGTCACTTCCGGTTTCAGTTCCATAACCTACTGTGAAGCAGCCGATAAAACTGATCTTGGTTTGATCAGCTGCTTTGGAGAGCAGAGGAGGGATCAGGGGTCTAATAGAGGTAAAGCCCACTGCCGGCCGACGTCACTCATCCAGTCCAGACTCAGGAAAGATCCCACCTTTACAATTGGATCCACCTAGATGCCTGGCAAATGGCTCAGCCTGTCAGCGAGCAGATGAGAAACTGAACCAGCTGCTAACACCCCTCCACAGCTCCAATGACCTACTGTCACCAGCTCTCTGCTCACTGAAGGCTGAGAACTGAGCGATCCAAGGTTTATCGCTCAGTTCTCAGTCTTTGAATTGGCGGGGGACAGATGCAGCATCAGACTGATGCTGCATCCACCTAGGGGAGTATAATTGTTTTTATAAGGTTACCCCATACATCTCTTTTAACTCTAAAGTGGTAACCTGTAAAGGCTCTCAAAGCTTTGCCTATGGAGATTTTTCGGTACCTTAGTTTGTCGACATTTCACAGATGTGCAAAATTTTTGACATGTTTGGTATCTGCTTACTCGCCGTAATATCATCTTTTATATTCTACAAAATTTGGGTATAATATTGTGTTTGTGAGCGCTAAAATGCATTTAAGTGTAATTTTTCCTGAAAATATGTATTTGATAAATTGCTGTGCAAATATTGTGCAACATAAAAAAATTACAACAACAGAAAATGTATAACGTTTCGGGTTCTAAGTAATTTTCCCCAGTCATCTTCCAGGCCAGCTCTTGGCAGATGGAGCTCCTCCCACCAATCAGGAAACACATTGCCGCTTTTGTCTTTTAAGATGGTCCCTCAGGCCCATGCCCACTTATTGTGTTTCCTCCATCCGGAGCGGACATGTTGCCTGAAACAAGCATCCAAGAACATCCTAGCTAGGTGGATTAACCCTTTCTTTGCCAGAGCCGGTTTTGCATTTTTTTTGCACATGTTTGAAAAATCATTTTAGGCCCAAAGATTACACAAAACCCCCAAAACATTTTATTAACATTAACAATAATATTAACGTTTTATTTTCTGAAAGCAGACACCCTATAGAAAAAAATAGTGATAGTTCCATTTTTTTTATCGCCTAGGAATTTAAAAATTTCAGTAAAAAAACACTCTAAAGTGACTTTTAGGGCAAAAAAATGCAATAAATTACCCAAATGTTTTTGTAAAATTTAAAAGATGAGGCTGCGCCAAGTAAATAGATACCCAACATGCCAAACCCTGCCAAATGAAATGGCAACAAATTTCAGTACCCTATATTTTCTATAGGCGACACTTTAAAATCCCCTATAGGGAATCAGTTTAGTGTTATGGAGGAGGTCTTGTGGTAGAATTATTGCTCTCACTCCAGTGCGTGGGGATAGGTAATGTGTATCGCAATCAATGTTTTCACGTGTAGGCGCCCTGATGTGTTTTTTTGTGTTCATATGTACATATCTATTTTTTTGTAATAAAGAAAAATATTTTTTTACTTAATTTTTTTTCATCACATAGGGGACACAAAGTCCCCCATGTGATGATTTTTAGGCAACAGGTTCTCTTTATTGAGACAGGTAGGGTCTAAAAGGCTCTGCATATCTCCTCTGGCCTCCATTCAATGCATTGCAATACATTGCTTCTTGGCTGTGCTAGCCGAGAAAGTAACAGCGGTGACCCAGAAGTGAACACATGTCGCCTTCCGGGTCATAGAAGGAAGAGGAGGAGAGTGGACATCCGCCCTCCTCTCTCCCCTCCATCCGCAGGCACCAGCCATGGTGCTCCCTGGGTCCGTAGATGCGCAAGTGGACCGGGTACATGGCATATGCATGCGGGGGGTGGGGGGGGGGGCAGCGGTACCGAGGGCTGTGGAAGTGATCGGGCAGCATTGCAGTTTAAATTGTGTGGAATGCTATGGAGTCATGCAACTTCCTCCACCACAAGTTCTAAAATCACATTCTATTAGGGCTTTGGCGGCTATGTGAGCAGAGAAAGCAGGCACGATCCCGGAGCACATTTGCAAGGCAGCAACCTGGTCTAGGTTGTCTACTTCATCCTGCATTACTGTCTGGACCCAATCTCCGGCCAGGACCAAGAATTTGGGAGGAAGGTCCTCCAAGCAGTGGTCCCCCCCCTAATCTGGTGAATACTTGTTTATCTTGTATATCCTCTTAAAGGCTGACCTGGAATACGATCTGGGAGTAAGTCGTAATGGTTTCAAGTGGTCCTCCAGGACAGCACGCTCCCACCCTAGGATTTAAGTTGTTGGGTGTTTTGTTGTTTGATTTTCTTTCAGATACGTTCTTCTAGCAAAAAAAATGCAGATTTTTAACATGTATGTGAAAAATGTTGAAATTGGCCCAGACACAAAGTGGTTAAAAGAGGTATAGAATCCAGACAGAGACATAATTTTGCCCCTGTACTAATTGTTCATAATACCTCATCTGAAACATGCAGTTCAGTTTTGGGCACCAGTTCACAGGTTTTCAGAGAATTGGAGAAAAGACTTAAATAAAAAGATATTATGTATTCTGACTCCAACTGTTGTACTAGTGACTTATCCTTTGCTGAGAACTATATGCCTGTCCCGCATAAGCAGATATAATCACTGGGGACAGTCTTTATCAGATAGCTGAACTCACCAAACACCTATTATTCTCATTGATGGATCTTTTTATTGCAATGCAGAAGGTACAGCAGACAACAAGATGTAACAGATGAATGAAAAGATGGTATTTGCAGATCAAAACTTGGTAATGTGTTCTCAGATGCAAGGAGATTACATGTGGCCTAGAGTCAAGAAGCCATATTCGTCGCAAAGAAGACAGTGTGCACGATGGAAAAAGGAAGTGCATCACAGGTGGGAAGGATCAGGATGAAAACAGAAAAAGGAATGTGCAATAACCAAAATATGCACAAGATGGCAGTATATTACCATTAACCATAACTATGCATTACACTATATTGTTACACAATAAATGTTACAATACATTATGCATATTGCACAGAGTAGCCGCTTACCGCCTCTTCTGGGGTACCCAGTCCGTGCTCTGTCTCTTCTCCATGTGCCACAATAAGAAGCCACTTCCTAAGGGAGCAGATGTGCTGGCGCACTCCTGAGCCAGGCTGTGCGCATCCATAGACATACACAGTATGTCTCCCGACCCCTGCCCCTCCTCACAGGATTTGACTGACAGTGGCAGAAGGCAATGGCTCCTGCTGCTTTCAGCCAAGTCTGTAACAGAGACAAGAGAGGAGAGGAGACCTGCAGCCGAGCGCAGCACTGGACTGATGTAGCACCCAGGTAAATATTTGAGAAGGTGGAGGGGTTGGAGAAACAGTTACTCAAAGGTTTTTTACCTTAACAGAAAATGCATTAAGGTAAAAGACTTTTTGATTCATAGCCACTTTAAGGGGGTATGATCATATAGTGGACTAGGTGTAGAGATATTCACTTTTAGGTTTTTACAGAGGACAAGGGGCATTTTTTATGTCTGGAGATTCAACCTCCTAATACAGAAAGGCTTCTTTACAGTAACAGCTGTATAAATGTGCCACAGGCTCCCTTAAAAACTGGTTCTGGCCAGCTCAGTAGATTGTTTAAAAAAAAGAGCTGGATAAATTCCTAAATGCACAAAATATAACTGGAAGGATACTAACATGTATAGGAAATAACACAAGAGATTGTTGAATTAAGGAATATCTAATTTCCCCATGGGAGATCAGGAAATTTATTTTTTCCCACAAAGTGGATCATGCTTTATTGGAGTGTTGCCTTCCTATGAGCCGACTGTGGGTATAGGACTGTGTATATGGATGTTTTTATTCTATTTTTTTTCTGTTGCTTGAATTGGATGGATTTGTATCTTTTTTTCAACCAGTATAACTATGTGTATAGCATGCCTTGTTTTGCACTGTGTGGAGGTGGTCATCTTGGCAAAATGTTACAATATCCTAAAAAACTATCCTACCAGGTCCTATTACACATAGATAGGAGAGGGAGTACTCAGCGTAATACATAAATACCAAAGAAAATATATAAAAAGGGTTTTGCTCACACCTCTTCCCTATTGAAAAATTGTGTAACTTAATTACATAATCTATAGGAAGTCAAGGCTGGAATCACCAGTTAGTGGGTGAAAACCCTAGATAATTCTGGACAGACATCGTTATAAATCTCTTTTATTAGTTCTCATAAAATAAATCACAGACATAATTAAAATTCTAACCGTCATGTCCCCAAGCTGAAAATATATATGCATTGGTTTCTGTAAACCGTAAATATTCACATACAGCTGTATAAATAGTGTATACCCAAAATACCAGTTTGCATATTAGTAAGGACCTCAAGGGAGAAGCAACAGTGACTGTAAAGCATACGAGACAACATTTTGGACATAAGTGTCCCATTTAGTCCCAATTCATTTTGTAAACAGGCGAAGGAGTTGTATATATTCCATGTCAATGTCACCATATGACTGGGGAATGTAGATATAAATTAGTCACCAGTTCATACAAACATGGCCGGATTGATTAGTATGTATGGGATGGTTCCTGATACTGTAGGCTAGGATTAAGAACTTATTGCAGACAAATTGAAGATCAATATAGATCTTCCGCAGCTGTAAACGGACAATTCATTCATAATGCCAACTGCACTTCCTAGCAATCCTGGTGTGTAATTCATTGAAGAGTAGATATCAGATTACGTGGCCTAGAGGACACAAGGTTTGCATTATATGAAGGATATAGGATGATATCAGATATTCACTTCATGTCCTCATTAATCTCCCTCACACTGCTAGCCATCAGTAAACAGGATCCATCTATATACACTATATTGCGAAAAGTATTGGGACATCCCTCCATATCATTGGATTCAGATGTTCCAATCACTTCCATGGCCACAGGTGTATAAAATCAAGCACCAAGGCATGCAGACTGCTTCTACAAACATTTGTGAAAGAATGGGTTGCACTCAGGAGCTCAGTGACTCCAAGCGTGGTACAGTGATAGGTTGCCACTTGTGCAATAAGTCCATCCATGAAATTTCCTTGCTACTAAATATTCCACGGTCAACTGTTAGTGGCATTATAACAAAAGGTGGAAACAACTGGGAACAACAGCAACTCAGCCATGAAGCGGGTTCAGCGCATGCTGAAGCGCACAGTGAGCTTCATGGAATGGGTTTCCATTGCCGAGCAGCTGCAACCAAGCCTTACATCACCAAGTGCAATGCAAAGCGTTGAATGCAGTGGTGTAAAGCGCACCGCCACTGGACTCTAGAGCAGTGGAGACGTGTTCTCTGGAGTGATGAATCGCGCATCTCTGTCTGGCAATCCGATGGACGTGTCTGGGTTTGATGGTTGCCAGGAGAACGGTACTTGCCTGACTGCATTGTGCCAAGTGTAAAGTTTGGTGGGGTGGGGGGGGGGGGTTATAGTGTGTGGTTGTTTTTTCAGGGGTTGGCCTTGGCCCCTTAGTTCCAGTGAAGGTAACTCTTAGGGCATCAGCATACCAAGCCATTTTGGACAATTTCATGCTCCCAACTTTGTGGGAACAGTTTGGGGATGGCCCCTTCCTGTTTCAACAGGACTGCGCACCAGTGCACAAAGCAAGGTCCATGAAGACATGGATGAGCGAGTTTGGGGTGGAGGAACTTGACTGGACTGCACAGAGTCCTGACCTCAACTCGATAGAATCTTTGGGATGAATTAGAGCGCTGTGAGCCATGCCTTCTTGTCCTACATCAGTGCCTGACCTCACAAATGCGCTTGTGGAAGAACGGTCAAAAATTCCCATAGACACACTCCTAAACCTTGTGGACAGCCTTCCCAGAAGAGTTGAAGCTGTTAAAGCTGCTAAGGGTGGGCCAACTACGGATTAAGGCAGGGATACCATTAAAGTTCATGTGCGTGTAAAGGCAGACATCCCAATACTTTTGGAAATATAGTGTAGATTTGTATGTATTTGTGTTTCAGACACTATTTACATGCCGTGAACACAAAACTGGTCATTTAAATAAATAAAATTAGTTGTGTGAATGTGTATAATATGTGTATTTCCTATGATTGTCATTTCCATCTACTGGCCATATTGAGGCATTTTCCTGAAATACCTTAATCAGCAAAATACCACATTATGGCCAACAGATGGAGCTGAGTATCATAGGAAATAAATAAATTTGGGAACATACGGAATTATTTGTGACTGCTAAGGGAATGTTTGAAATATTTACACAGCAAATTTTTATAAATACACCCCTAAGTGTAGACTTAGTGTTAGGTCCCTTTCACACTGCTATGGCATGGTTTCCCCACAGCGCAGGTGCAGGGCAGCATATCCGCATTTTTTTTTTTGTGCAGGTTAACCGTACTTTCCCATAGAGTTAGATTAGGTGTTTTCTGAAAGAGAGCACCAAAGATACAGCATGCAAGACTTTAGGTCGGAGCAGTGTGAAAGGGACCTTAAACTCTAAGCCCCAATTTGATTTTAGGATTAAATAACCCATTACTCAACATGTAGGCAAGCTGTTGGCAGCTGCCTACATGGAACATGTATTATGTTAGTGAACTAGCTAGTTTGTCCAGGTTAGGGAAGGGTTAATACTAGTCATGTACCTGGCCGAGGCTGAGCTGACAAGAGGGCTGCCCTTGCACCTCTTGTCCTGTTTCCCCTGGGGATAATGCAGTGCACAGAGTGGCAAGGGTGCCTGTAGGGAATTCAGTTTGGATATATCTTGAAAGCAGATGCAGACCTGGAGCAGGCCAACTAGCAGTAAAAAAGATACTGGATCTCGAATGCGTGGTCAGATGGGCAGAGGTCAGCAACAACCGAGCAGCAGGAGTGCAAAGTCAGGAACCAAGAGCATAGTCAGGGCCAGACCAGAGTCAGCATGGAGTAAGCAGAAGATGTACCGGAACAGCAGGCAGGATGCAAGGTCAGGTCACAAGCCAGTGTCAGCAACATAGGTTCAGGAAAAAACAGGATGAACAAGCCAGGTCTGGGCACAGGATCAGGTCACAAGAAGGAGGAGCTGATCACCACTCAGCAATGAACCTGAGACCTGTAAGGCTTTAAATAGGCCACTAGGCACCAAACTCTATTAAACAAGTATGCTCACGCATATGAGCATGTGCACAATGCTAATGCTAACATGCATGCGCATATGCCCGCACAGATGTGCGCAGGGTCCTGTTCTGCGTGCATGAGCATTCCTTTGTGCACTGGCATTCCTTTGAGCAAGGGCTTGAGCATGACTTTCCCAACAGCAGGGCTCTGCCCTCCTTCCTGTGTCACATAAAAAGTGGGAAGGCTCTGCTTCAGGCAAGCTCCAGCTGTACCGGAAGAGACGCAAGAGGCTTACAGAGGAAGATGTAACCCTTTAAAACCAGCATCATCCTCCTGGAGGGAGAGAGAAACCTGCATAGGAAGCTTCTGTGGGACTGCTGAGTGTTGTAGTCCCACAAGAGACTGGATCACTACCTTTCATGGACTTTATAGGTATGCCTGGGCAGCCACAATCAGATTAGTTAGTGAGGGATTCATCAGACTGTGCTTTGCACTTGTGTTGTAATGCTGCAGAAGACATTCAGTAACGTTTAACTATTTCAAGCCTGGTTTGAAGTTATTAAAGGGGTGCATGTTGATTCTAGTGTATCCAAAGGAACCAGGGTCTGTAAAGCACTGCAGGGGTATGAAGTAACACTAATCAAACAGGGTTTACTCAGTAAGTCAAGGAAGAGAAATGCCATTGCTAAGAGTCACCAAGTATAAGTTCTAGACACAAAGCAACCAGTCATTGGGCGTGGTACCTGGTAAGGTGGCAGGTCCTCCAATAGCAAGAGGGTCGCTGCTTTGGCTCTATCTCCAGCAGACCATCTGCCATAGTAACTGGGAGCAGGCCAGCATTACGGAGATTCATCACCTGGTCACAAGGCACGGGAGCAAGAAGTTAAACGTGCATGCATGGGGTCTGTGCTGGTGTGCAGCACTGTTCTGCTACTGGATGTGAGGTAACAGAGGTATGCAGGCTGGTGGAGGTGGCGTGGCTCAGCCCGCTACTCGTAATGCAACAAGTAATAAGGCACAGTGTGTAGAGACATGGGACACCAGCCTCTCCCTGGTCCTGGGCATTGGTCCGCGTGCCCTCAGGCAAAGGTACCCCTCATGCACAGGCGCAATAGGCCCCCCCAACAAACATCCCATCCTTATTTTTTATTTTTCTTTCAGGCCTTTATATAGCATCAACAATTTACTTTTCTAAATACATTTTACAACTGGCAAAAGTTCCTAAACAGAATTATAAATTGCAATGATCAACACACAGGATGGGAGTTTGATAAGATACCTGCAGGTACTATGTGTACACAGGTGTTGCCTTCACATGTCACAGCCAGTTGGGCCATAGGCGATTTCCTGATGATGATGATGGACGCCAAACACTTGTGTAAGAATGTTCTGTTTAAAGCAACCATTATTCAACTCATGTGCTCCATAGTAAACATTAGATCTGTTTACTTACACTGTCCTCCATTTTCCAGAACAAAAAAAAATTAGAGATCCTTCACACTGTTTTCATGACTCATTTTACACACTCTAGTACTCTGCAATGCCATTCATTTTGAATGGTACTCCAGCACACTAAAGACTCGTGCACACAGGTCAAATATTAGGCAGTATTGGCTGGTTCAAAAGAAACCAGCCAACATTCGGCTCGTGTGTACAGCAGGTGGTCTGATAGAAGCCTGCTGAATGTCCAGCTTCTGTCGAAGAGGCATGACCGAAGAAGGTCTGCACCCGATCAGTGCTCTCAGCCAATGCCCGAGAACGCTGACCATTGTGTTCTGGCTGGGGGGATTGTCCCCTTGTCAGAACTCAATAGCTAAGTGGGGAGATTGCTGTACTACATTGGATTGTTAGAACAAGATCTCCACCTGAGCTCTTCAGTTTTTTTCTTTCAGCCCGCTGGGTTGAACAAAAAAACTGATCGTGTGTACTAAGGTCAAGGCAATGCACTTGCGTCAGAAAAAAGGTGTAGTTGTGTTTGTCCAGTGTGATGCATTGACAACTCATTTAAAAATTTAGGCTACCCTATTACAAAGCACATTAGGCAAAGCACCAGCATGAACAGGTGTGAAGAGTGCCTAAGGGTAAATATGTAGACTTATGGTCCATAAGGGGAATTTACTAAGATTAGAGCAGACAGAATCTGGAGCAACTGCACAACCAATCAGCTTCTGGCTCCATGTGACTTATACAACTCTTTTACCTTCCTTATCCTGCACATCTGACCATTAACCCCATTCAACTCTATCCTACCACTGTATGCTAGCAGTACAGGGCTCGACAAATCCCAGGCTCCAGGTCACCATGGCGATTAGAAAATGCATCCTGGCACCTGGGTTTACACACTGCATCCCATCAACGTCAATGCAAAATCACATCCCATTGATTTAAATGCTAAATCGCATCCCATTGACTTCAATTAAAAATCCCATCCCATTGACTTCATCGTAAAATTGCCTGCCATTGACTTCAATGCAAAAATAGCCTCCCATTGATTTCAAGGCCAAATGGCCTCCCATTGACCTCCAAGGCAAAAACTTCAGTCAATAGCAATTCTATGTAAACCCTTATCTCTGCATGCCACTCTACTCCATTGCGTGCAAGTCTAGAACGCATCACTACAAACTCGCACAGGACCCTTTTCATAATGGCACTCAAAACACAATGCCTGTGGATCGCATCTGTGTGAACAACCGCAACAGGAACACATAATATATAGCCTGTAATGCAAATCTGTGAGTTTGAAACTGCATTCAGAATTGCATATGTGTAAACCAGGGCACCAATTTATGGTGCCTTCTCTAACATTACAGATCTGTCTGCACAGTTATGAAAATCTTTTACAAACTAAATTAATATTAGTTAAAGGAACAACTATTAATGTTTGCATTATTTACACAGGAGTGAACTTTTTCTTAATAAGGAAAAACAGTGCAGTCTGCCATCAACCAAAACTTTGCAGCCCCGGGCTGTGGCCTAGATGGCCTTTCCTCCACATTATTATGCACATTCACCTCTATGAATGACAAAAACTCCCTCCTCTTTGGGAAGTTAGGTTACTGTTTACTGAATCACAGAACAAACCTCCTGAAGAAACATTTGACTTTCTCATATCTTGTTTTTAAAAAGGTCTGGCAAATGAATTTAGAAGGCCAAATGTTCAAGCACAAGTGGAGGATATTCCAGTTGTGTTGCTGGCTGTCTACCGTAACTCTTTTATTGTGTTGTTTTGCACACAGTTAAAAAATTGCTGAAGGCCAGAAGATTAGTTAAAACTCCACCAACAATATATTTTTTTCAAAGCTGGAGAATAAAATTTTAGTAGTTTTACATTTTTATGTCAA